CATCATCCATCCCAGGGTCTTGATAAAAGGACGTGTTGGCTAGAGACAGAGTTGTACTAGGGACCCCCTGCCCTGTAGAGTGCAGTTGAGGGGCCACCCAGACTCTTCAACTTCAGAGCTCCCCAGCTGGGACACACATTTTACCAGAGTTCTTCCTCAACTCTACATTCTATTATATCAATAGCTACCCCCATTCCCTTCGAGAACTTCACAGGGTCTGCCTTCACAGGGTCTGCCGTAGGTGTTAAGTGACGGGCAGACTTCCCTAGGCCACTACAGAAACTGCAAAGTAGCTATTTACAAAAATGTAAAATCTGTCCTCACCTTTCTTCCAGAATTTCTTCATCTGTGAAATGGGTCTAACAGCCCTGTCACAGCTGTACTTAGTGACATGGCTGTGCAAGAGGAGAAAAGCTATAAAAAAGCAAGGCATTATTACTGCCATTGTTGCTATTTTATTACACAGCCCAGAGTTTTTCACATAACATAAAACAAAATATCTACCAAATCTGTCTTAAAGACCAGTCAGCATCCAGTCCGCTGAGGATGGTTGCATAAAAGCTTGTTAAAGGGACTGCGGGTGGTGTGGTGGTTAAAGCCGCTGGATTTCCCATGTGGGAAGCATGGCCGACTGTGGTTTGAGTCCCAGACCTCGTGGTTTGCTTTCTCCATTTCCCTTCCTCTCTCTCTCAGTCTCTCTCTGGTCAATTTAAATAATAATGATAATGATAACAAATGGAATTAAATAAGTAAATAATTCTTAAAAAAAAAAAAGTTTCTTAAAAGTTCAGGTTCCTCAGTCCCACCTCAAACCTATTGAATCAGATCTTCCAAGTGTAGAACCCAGAGACCTATATTTTTAACAAGGTCCCAGGGTCAGCCTATTTGTTCCATTGGAAGAACATTGGACAGAACTGTTCAGCCTGGTGTGGAGGAAGAGACATAGGACATATATCATTTCCGAACCCGCTTGAACTTGACCAGTGCAAGTACAGACCATCGCTTAAGGAGTAGGAAACACAAACAGTGCTTTAAAGGGGCTAAGGACCCCAAAGAGGATCACCAGCTGGGGAGAGGAAAGAGTGGTGGGAAAAGGAAAGGACTCACCTACAATGATCCCACAGGCACTGACCAATCCGATCTCCTTCTTCAGGGCTACTCCGCCCCCTCTGGAACCAGATTCTGGACTGGCCTCAGACTCGCTACCACCTGGGTCCTTCTTTTCAGTGTTGTTTCGGTGCCTGGTCCCTTTTTCCATCTTTCTCAATAGGATTTCAACCTCCAAAAGTGATTTCTCTTTCTAAATGCGTATGCGTGTAAGTATATTGAAGGAGAGAAGCTTTCAAAAGAAAATGTCCTTTTCCGAAATAGGGACCACTCCTACCCTCTAAAAAAAGGATAAGCAGCTTGAAGAGAAAATTTAAAAAACCCCTACTCCGTCTTGACACTTTCTTGTCACTCTTGAATAAAATCAAGGAAAGTGTTTAAAGGGGGATGGGTGGGAAAGACATATACGTCTAAATAGCAAAATAGAACTATACCAGCGACCCCGGCTGGAATTCTCCCGAAAGGGATGTATCTTCAGAAACCAGGAATGGTTCCGCTCTGTGTACCAGGCAGTGGCTTGCTTCAGACGCCTCAGAGTCTGGATTTCCCTTCAGCTCTCCTAATAAGACAGAGATTGCCTTTCCTCCCCTTAAGACGTTTCTTTTATGATACGAATAAAAGTAGTTTTCATTAACTGAAGGAGGAAAAAAAAAGCAAAAAAAAAAAAAAAAGCAATCCTCGGGCACTTTTCTTCTCTTCCAGAAAAACAAACTGAGGACCTGACCGGTTTGCTCTAGATCTGGTTTCCACCTGCTGTGGGTTTCTTTTCCCCTCCCGTCTCCGCTTCCGCTTTTTCCAGATGTCCTCTGCTGTCTCGCTTAGACTCTTGTCCTTGTTTTCCCTCTTCCCATCTGCGTCCTTAC